CATGCAACATTAGAAAAACACAAAATAAAATAAAACTAAATTATGCTGCTTAATGTCATTTCGTTGGAACTTCACAATTATCCTTTGGTACTCAACCATGTAATTGCATGCATCATACTGCTCGATTGACATTGAAATCAACTATTGGTTTAAAAGAGGATACCAAAATGCTTAATAAACTATAGCAGCCATCGAGAGTGCCATAGAACTGATCTGTAAATGAGGCAAATGTCATGTTATTCTTTTGATCCGATCATCAACCCGGCAACACCTAACGACTATCTTGACCAAATAGAGCTCACAACTTATGCAAAGTGAAGATTGAAATCTTGTTATGTTAAGGCTGTCATGTCCCTTTTTGTTTTGTTTGTCTTATTCTGTTTTATAATCCCTCTTTTCAAGCAAATTTTTTGTTTTCAATGTCACCAGGTTGCCTTTATCTAAAGACTGCAGTGAGGATGATGATGGAAAAAAGTATGAAAGAGAAAGTAAATTACAATGTATTAGATAAATGAATAAAAATGGTATGAAGAGCTTTTATAGGGCAATTTCCATAACATGAGTCAAGAACACAAGTTCAAATGAATTAGACCAACACAACTCAAGCATATCCATGAAAATAACCTATAGTAATCCTCCATATATAACCAGTGAATTTAAATTTATTTTTGCTCTAGGTTCTTTAGCATTTTTACAGGAGCGTGTTTTAATGGTTAACTATATCTAAGGTGTTATCTTATAACACTCTTAATTATAAAAATTTTACCTATGTTCTAGGATCTATCGATGGGACATACCAATGAATAACATCAGCATTTCAGTAGGAGTTATCTTAAATCTTAAGGCTAAACTAGGTTATTGGGTGGAGGGTAGATCATTATATCTCAAAGGGCATTTGCCTCTCAACAGAGAGTTCCAAAGATATGTAAAAAACTCTAAAGTTCAATGAAAGTTTTTTGGATTCATTATAATGAGTTATCAAACATTGAATCTATTTGGCCATGAAGGTAGACAACGGAACAAAACTAGAAATTCCTTGTCATCAATTCATAAATTATATCATCCAAGGAAATATTGTTGACCCTCGATCGGGAAAAAACTGACCTATCCTGTAACCTTTTTTGATAGAAAATGATTTGAATATGAATCACCACTCTTGAAATGTGATAGCATGCTTTTGGAAGGAAGGGGAAGAGGAAAACTCAGACCATAAGTCAATAATATAATGTTTAACATGGGCTTGCAATATTCTCTGGATAAGAATAGCCACTAACAACCTGAGCACTCTAAACAATCATGAAAATGAATATATATCATTTGGCTTAGGTGAAGGGAACCAAGTATACTTACCTAGGGATACAAAATAATACTCTATTAGATACTCTTTAAAGTCGAGTCTCTATTAATGTATATATTATAGAACTAATTTATAGTTAATAAAAAATGATAGGAGAAATTGTTAGAACTTTCACAATATTTTTGTTACTCGTTACATGGATTACCTAGAACTTTTGACGTATTTACTTGTCACTTTAATTACCTAAATATGTGTTGGATTTTCATGTAGCTCTAAGATGCTAAATAATCATTTGATGTCAAGAATTCTCAAGCTCACATCACTTTTGAAGACAATAATAAAAAGTGATTATGGCAATTAAGACAACTTTTTTGAGAATCACACCTAGCTGGGTAAGTTTGGTGAATTCGACGTCATGCTCGCTAGAGTCAATTGAATGATCTCGTTGGATCACTATAACCTCAATCAAGTTGACAGAGGCATTACCAAGGACAATCTGATGGAAGTGCGGCCAAAAGAGAAGCATTCTTCGAAGAATTGAAAATTAGGGCAATACATTATCATAGGAGTATTTTAATGCCCACGCTAAAAAATGACAATACAAATAAAAAAAAATCTCATGGGATCAATGAGTATCATAATTTTTTTTATAATGCTGTAATGTATGAACTGACCTACTTATTAATATGGATGATCATTACAAAAAAAGAGATCACTCCCGAGATGTTGCATTAGGCTCAGATTTTCAGGCGGTGTTCTGTAGCGTATTATTTATAGAATTTAATCACAAGCTTAGCTTAAACCCATCCAAACACAAAATAATAATAACAAATCCAGTGCTCCTTCAAAATTCAATTTTCTCATGTTCTAAGTGATTCTTCTCACGCTCCACTATTTATATGACATAAATCCATATTTAGTAAGTCTTATTACAAGCTGTATTTATTCATTGTCACTCGCAATCCCTTCCCATCATGTACTAAAATGTGATAAATTCAAATTTATTAGATTTGATAAATCTTATTTAACATGAATATATCGTGCAACCAAACACTGCCCTTTCGAATCGTTTCTCAATTCCATTGTTCAAAATTTTTATCTCTAACCTTTTCTTTGGGCATGGTAAATCAAAATTTCAATCTTCAAGCCACAAAATGAAACAATAGAACGTTTATGCCATCAAAATTCAGCCTTATCTAATCCTGAGTCCAAAAGCAAACAACTTCCTCATCCAAATTAGCAAGCAAACACTAAAGCCCTCTTTCAAATTTATACTTCCGTAACTCCCCTAAAATAAGTTTCCGACCACCAGCCCTGTCCTAAATGAGCGATTATTGCGTGCGGAGAACAGCAATGCATGCCCTCTCTGATCACAGCCGAGCATCACGGCTGTATGATAGTGCGACCTACTGTCATATGTGTGCGCTCTCCGCAGACAATAATTAAACATCCTAAGTCCACCAATAAACAATACACATCAATTCAACCAACCCCACGATGCAATAACAAAACCAAATCTTCAATAAAGTAAAATCTTCGTCGTAAATCGAAACCATATCATGTACTAACAGAAATAGTTTTTTTATTTCACTAAAAAAATTCTCCTTTCCGCTCCGCGACAACACCACGCGCACTCAAACCCCCAATTCAAGCGCAGAGCACCACAAATGTGCCGCAGCCGGTCCCAAAGTTCGAATTTTTTGAAATCCTTCCCCCTCCCTGATCTTCCCCCCTTCCCCCCCCACAAGAAGCTCCCTTTACCCTCTCCTCATCTCCTCAACCTCTCTCCCATGGGCTGCGTCTCCTCTTCCTTTCTCGAAGACGACGCCGGCAACATTACCCCCACCTTCGGCCATCACATCGTCTCCCTCACCTCCACCACATACGGCCTCCTCTCCACCCTCGACCCTGCAACTCCTCACCAAACCCCTCCCCCTTCCCCTCCTCCTCCTCCTCCGCCACCACCTCGCTCCATCTCCCCTGCTCCTCCTCGCCGCCCCGAACCTGACATCAA